GCCGCTCGGGGATGGGGCCGTGGGCTGGCGCGAGCAGCCTGGGTGCGGGGGGGAAGCGGGCGGGGGGCGCATGCGGCCTTCCTGTGTGACACGTGTGTGCAAGCGTGTGCATCTGTGTGCGCCGGCGTGTGAGCACCTGTCACAGACGTGTGTGGAGGTGCGTGTGGACGCACGTGTGCCAGAGCGTGTGAGGGCACCGGGGGCTATGAGCAGAAAAGTGCATGCGTGTGTGGTCACATCACACGGAGTGTGCAAGTGCGCATGGCAGCACGGGGGCACACGCAGGTGTGCAGGAGCGTGCCCAAGCATGTGTGAGCGTGTGCAAGCGTGTGTGAGAATGCACAAGGGTGCCCAAGTCCATATGAAAACCCCAGGAGTGCGTGTGGCCAAGYGCACCCAGCCATGCTCTAGCGCACCTGAATGTTTCTGAGTGTGCACGAGCATGCCTACGTGTGTGTGAGCATGCCAACGTGACTGTGAGTGTGCCCAAGGGCGTGCAAGCATGCAGGAGCGTGCCTAAGCACACGTGAGCACATCCGAGCACACRTGGGGGTGCATAGCCGTTCTCATGGGTGAATAAGGGTGCCCAAGCGTGCCCGTGCACGTGCAGAATGGTGCCCAAGCGCGTGTGAGCATACCAAAGTGTGCAAGGATGTGTGTGAGCATGTCCAAGCAGGCTGCAGCGTGCCCAAGCACGAGAGCATGCCTAGGCATGCATGAGGGTGCAAAAGTGTGCAAGAATCTGTATGAGCTTGCACRAGCACACCAAAGCTCGTGGAGTGTGCAAGTGTGTCCAGGAGAGCACGGATAGCCCAAAGGGAGCAGGGATGTGTGTGAGTGTGCACAAACACATGTGAGCTAACATGCAGGAGCATGCCCAAGCACGCACGGATGTTCGTGAGCATGCCCAAGCATGTGCTGGTGTGCCCAAACGTGTGAATATGGATGTTAGAGCAGGCCCAAGCGTGTGCAGCGCGAGCGTGCCCGAGCACACGCGAGCGTGCCTGAGCACGCACGCATGTTAGTGAGCATGCCCAAGCATGTGCAAACACGCCCAGGTGTGTGCGAGCGTGCCCAAGCATAACTGAATACATTGGGGTTGCTCCCAAGCTTGCACAAGTGCGTGTTGGAGAGTGCCCAAGCGTGTATGAGCGTGCCAAAGCGGGTGCGAGTGTGCCCAAGCATGCCTGAGCGTGCCCAAACATACATGGATAAGCCCAAGCATGCCCAGATATTCGAACATGCACAAGCGTGTGCAAGCATGCCCAACACGCGTGAGCATGCTGAAGCACACATGGGTGTTCGAGTGTGCACGAGGACACGCGAGCGTGCCCAAGCGCGCTTGGTTGTTTAGCTTGCCCAAGCACACGTGGATGTYTGCGTGTGTCCAAGCGTGTCCAAGTGTGCCCAAGGAAGCATGGGTGTCTGAGTGTGCCCAAGGAAACCCGGTAGTCTGAGCGTGCCCAAGAGTGCAAGTGTGTCTGGGGGTGCCAGTCACGTGCAGCTGTGCCCAAGCATGGCCAAGCGTGTCCAAAAGCACGCAATAACGCCCAAGTTTGCAGGGACCTTTGAGTGTGGCCAAGCGTGCAGGAGCGTGCCCAAGTGTGCCCATGAGTGTTTGAGCACATGTGAGTGTGCCCAAGTGTGCACAGTTGTGCCCAAGGCTTCATGAGTGTTTGAGCATGCCCAAGTATGCATGAGTGTTCCCAAGGGTGCCTGGGTGTGTGAGCGTGCCCACGGGTGTTTGCGTGCACGCGAGCGTGCCCAAGGGTGCCTGGGTGAGTGAGCGTGCCCAGGGGTGTTTGTTTGCACACGAGCGTGCCCAAGGGTGCCTGGGCGTGTGAGCGTGCCCAGGGGTGTTTGTTTGCACGCGAGCGTGCCCAAGGGTGCCTGGGTGTGTGAGCGTGCCCACGGGTGTTTGTTTGCACACGAGTGTGCCCAAGGGTGCCTGGGTGAGTGAGCGTGCCCAGGGGTGTTTGCGTGCACACGAGCGTGCCCAAGGGTGCCTGGGTGAGTGAGCGTGCCCAGGGGTGTTTGCGTGCACACGAGTGTGCCCAAGGGTGCCTGGGCGTGTGAGCGTGCCCATGGGTGTTTGTTTGCACACGAGCGTGCCCGAGGGTGCCTGGGTGTGTGAGCGTGCCCACGGGTGTTTGCGTGCACGCGAGTGTGCCCAAGGGTGCCTGAGTGAGTGAGCGTGCCCAGGGGTGTTTGCACGCGAGTGTGCCCAAGGGTGCCTGGGTGTGTGAGCGTGCCCATGGGTGTTTGCGTGCACGCGAGCGTGCCCAAGGGTGCCTGGGCGTGTGAGCGTGCCCACGGGTGTTTGCGCGCACGCGAGCGTGCCCAAGGGTGCCTGGGTGAGTGAGCGTGCCCACGGGTGTTTGCGCGCACGCGAGTGTGCCCAAGGGTGCCTGGGTGAGTGAGCGTGCCCAGGGGTGTTTGTTTGCACACGAGTGTGCCCAAGGGTGCCTGGGTGTGTGAGCGTGCCCACGGGTGTTTGCATGCACGCGAGCGTGCCCAAGGGTGCCTGGGTGAGTGAGCGTGCCCACGGGTGTTTGTGTGCACACGAGTGTGCCCGAGGGTGCCTGGGTGAGTGAGCGTGCCCAGGGGTGTTTGT